ATAAATAAATAAATAAATAAATAAATAAATTGGGGGGGGGAAATAGGTACACGCGTGACATGGCAAACCACTGGATACTGCCTTCAGTCAAGTACCAAGTTCCTCATCTCCTAAACCCATTAAATCTTTAAAAGAACATGAGACACTTGAAAAGTCTTCAATCTGATGAGCTAAATTCTGGGATTCTAAGCCCTGTCTTTAACACTAGGATATGTTTGGCTGTGGAGGAGTCACCTTTACCATCCTCCTTTTCTCTTTTTTGGTGGGCCAACATCCAAAATTCTCTCTACAAGCAGCTTGAGCATTCTTGTTTGACAATTACTATATCCAGAGCTTGACAATTACTATATTCAGAATTAGCTAAGTTCCAATTAAGAAATACGCCAACACATTAGCTGAGGGAAGAAAAAAACCAAAATCCCGCTCCACAAGCACCACAGCCATGGCACAACCACAGTTGCAGAGACGGTGCATAGCTGCTGACTACACCAATGCCTGTCAAACAGGTGTTTCTAATCCAGAAATTTTCCACTATACTCCATCTTGCCAGGCTCTACAACTTAATGATATCTATTTAAAACAATGAATGTTGTCATTTGATACTAGAACGCTTTGTATTAAAAAATCTGCTGTGATGGATCATAAATCTATAACCAAAATTCACAGCATATGAATTCATAACACAGTTGTTTGATAAATCCAGTCTGTAACTTTGTTTTGCTATGATTTTTAACACTGGGTAAATATTTAACAATGAATCACCAAATTAATTAGAGTTTCTAAGTGCTGATATAAACTGAACTTCACAGCAGACTAAATTCTGACAACACACATGAAATACCCAAACTGTAAGAAGAAAGTAGTTGCTTAAAGGTTGCTGTACAACAGGTTCCCTATCCTTTTACAGAGAAGTGTATAATTTATTTTAAATTTCCACTGTATTTTTCAACCTTTAAAATGTAAAGAAAACATGTAATCATTTCATTGTTTGAATGCCAGAGCTGTCTTTGTCATGCTGGCTGTATTTTGAAAGAGCTGCAGTGACATCCAGCGGTAGTTCAGTTGAAACTCAAGCTTAAGCTTACAAATTTGGGAAACAAGACAATTCTTCCCAATCCACATGAATTTCTGTGTGACACCATGTTCAACAGAAAGAGAGCACGACAGCACCCGCTGGGATAAGCCTAAGCAGTTTTTCAGAAGTCAGGCCTTCAGCTGACAAAGGAGGCCAACATTCATTTCACACCATCTACCTGGAACTTCAGAATCTGAAGATTTTCAACCCAGATGCCTTTTCCACTCAAACTGTTAACATCACTTTCAGGACCATAACAGATTGTTCAACTACTGGAAATACCTCCTTTGTAATTTAATGTCTTCCATTACTCATGAACATCTAGTCAATCAAAAGCTCCCTGTACAGTCCTCACATTAAACACAGAACAGCTTTATTCTCTCAAAAGATTTCACTTTTCAGAGAAAACAAAACACACATCATAAAACGACTCATCAGAAAAAAACATGATCCCAAAACACAGCAGCAACCTCTTCCTACACTTACTAGGTATGTACACCTGTGTGAGCCAACTGAAGAGTAGCAAAACCAGATGGAAAAACCTTCAAAAGCTCTTAGCCATATAGTTAAATTTTAGGTACGTCCTAAAAGAAGCGGGGAGTTAGATCTGGTGATCTTTATGGGTCCCTTTCAACTCAAGATACTCAACCATTATATGAAAAGCTGTATTCGTGCAAATAGAGGTAAAGCACATTTCTAGTGCTCCATACAAAATTTGTTCTACAGATGTATGTTAATACAAAGCAATTTCTTGGATTAAGAGGGAGACGCAGCTTGACGCTATTGCTGCACCAGGAGGTTAAGCAAGATTGGTAACATAATGTAGATTTTTATGAACAGGGGCTAATTTTCAGCTTGGTGTGCATTTCAAAGACTCTTCTTCCAAACTGATGGCAAGGACTCAAGTGTTTTCAGGTATAGAAAAAAACCCCCACCTGTATGGCAAGTTGCAGCAAGGCAACCTAACGTTTTCTTTTATAGGTATCTGGCTATTTAGCAAATAAAATTCTTAAAACCGTCTAAAACCAATTTGCTTCAGATTTAAGCCAAGTTTCTTCAGGAACTATTGGCCATGTGAAAAGGCGAGACCTATAGCTTCAGCAGTTCCTTGGTTAAGTATTCAAGAAGAAAAACAAAGAATAGGTACACACACGTGCTATAACCTCCTCCTGTTGCAGATAGAGTCACAGAGCCTTACGGTTTCCCTCAAGTGCTGTCCCATGCCACTGAAATAAAGAAAAATTGTTTCTTCATTACCTCGATTACAGATAGTGCAGAAATTGCTTGGTCCTTCACTATGTTTCTTCAAATGATCTGCCATATAAGCTGCTCGCAAGTACTTCCCACACACCTGGCATGGAACTTTGTCTTCATGACATGCTAGGTGTGAGCGCAGTCGGTCACGAGTGGCAAAGGAAGCATTACAAGTCTGCAGGTATAACGAGAACCATGTGACTCAGCAACTCTGCTCAAAGCACAGATACTGTTGATTATATTTAGTACTCTTTAGAGTAAATACCTTAGATCCTGTGCAAACACAGAAATGACATGATGCACAAGCCACTTGCCCAAAATTAAAAGATTCTGATCACCAACACATTCCACAAGATGAGATGTTACTACTCAAAAGAATTAGGAGAACAAGAAAACAGCTCTAGCATACTGCACAGTAAGATTTAAATCAGGATAGAGTTGTAAGGCCTTAGCTCCTCTCTGAGCTAAGATACTGAAGATAATGAAACTTTAACATTTAACAAAAGAAATAGCACAAACCATTCAATTTAAAGTAAGTTCTGCCATTTCACTGAGCCATTACAATCACTTTAGACCACTTAAAATATTCTCTTATTCATCTTACTCAATTTTACTCTTTGATCTGATCAATCTTCAAACTTCAGTATGCTGAATCCCTTTGGAGTAGGAAGACATACAAACAAAGGATCGGAGAACTGGCTGGGATGAGAATATGACGACAGACAGTAAAAGAGCCACCCTGGTATCCACTGTAGCAGCGCAGACAAATTGTAGAAGTGAAGCCTCAGAACTGAGCAGGTAACAAAATAACTGCATGACACTGTTAATCTGTGTACAACTTACCCCTGATCAAGGTACCATATTCCACTTACTACCATGACATAAGCTTGATTTGGCATAAGATAATATTGATTCTACTTGTCTATTTCTCAGACATAATCCATGAGTGAAGGCTCCCTCTCCTTTAGAATCATTATAGCAACTGGTGGGCACGCAGACTATGTATACAGCCTGTCAGAGCAGCCTGCCAGTTCTGAAAGGCTTGCTCTAGCTCTAACAAGTGAAAGAAAATAAATCACCAGCAACATACAGTAAAGTTATTAAAGATACAGTCTAAAACCATTGGTCATAAGCACGAGAGGAAAAACAAAAGCAAACATATGTTAGAATGGCCAGACCAAGCAGGCAACAGTGATATTCAAGAGTGTACAGTGTTTTGTTTATACCACCTATATAGAAAATAACACAGTGTTAACATGTATAACCAGAACCCCTCAAGACATAATATGAGGCTACTAAGCGATGTGGGAGCTGGATATTTTCTGTCTTTTCAAGTACCAGTGTGTAATTAAACAACTGTTTCAATAGAGACAGATTTGTAGAATTAACAATCTCAGTAAAATTCCAGAATTATAACTTCAAGTAAATGAAATTGATAATAGAGAACAGAATAATCCATATAATTTTAAATAATTTAGTTAGTTGAGAGCTTAATGCACAAAACATTGAAGGCAGCTGAAAAGTACCTATCGATTTCAACAGGCTTTACACTCCTTCGATCCTGTGAGATGCTTAAGTATGGAAAACTCCGACAGAGCTGCAGCCACTCTGCAGCAAGCACAGGACTTAGCATCTCAGAGGATCAAGACTTAACCAACTTAAAGACAAGGGTAAAATCATTTTTATTTCTGCCATATACACAGTCAACAAAGATTCATAAATTACAAGTAGTGGGGATTAAGAGACAAACTCTCGAGCATGAATGATTTCTCTTCATTTGAACTCTCAGTACACAGCGCTGAGCAAAACAGGTGCAGCTTTCACTTACTACAATGTTCTTAGAGGTAAACACTCATTTAAGGCAGGACTGCAGCACTGATACTAATCAATCTGCTGGATATCTACTAAGATACAGAACCAGACAATCAAGGATGACAGACAAGAGATCCATCATCAGTAAGTCTGAAAACACTGAGCCGCAGTAAGCGTCCATACAAAAGCATTGGGAGTGCATTAGGTGATGAAGCAGACCAGAGATAAATCACATAAACCCAGGGATGCCAGAAGTAGAACTACATCTGTCCCATATTGAATTTATCAAGTTGAAAGCTTAGGGCAAGGCAATGCAATAATTTCGGTGTTTGATTTCCCACTCTTGCTGCTGAGTTGTGCAAAGTTAACCTTTGGATAAACTATACAGTAAATATGTCTGCAAAGAAGCTTAAAAAAAAAAATTAAGTCCGGTGAAGAAAGCAAGAACCCGTGTAGCTGAATTGTAACAACGGGAGACAGGACTAGGCTTAAAGAAAACCCCAAAGTTAATATTCAAATAGTTAATATTTATAAAAGGTATAAAGCAAAAAAAAGTTTTATTTTACAGAAGATGTGAAGTGCTAAATAAGAGCTGAGTATTTATCATTAATTGTTAATCATAGAAGAAAACTCTCCAGTGCTTTCCTATTAAACATTGCACAGGTATATAAATAGATCAAAAGGAATATATATAAAGTTTAAAAAACATTTTTTAAGAAATACCTCTTGAAGTTTCAACTTTTCTATGGATGTGGATGTCTCTGAGCTTATTCCATGGTGGCTGCCATTTTCCTGCTAATAGGCAGGAAGTAAGAGAAATTAGGACAGGAAGAAACTCATTCTGCATTGAAATCAATGGGAAAAGCACTGGACTTGGGATGCCAATTTTAGGCTTACTTAAATAAATAGATCTTTTTGTCAAAAGTTGTGCTTTGACTTAACCTGCATTTTTCTCTTTTTAAATTGTCAGAAGAATAACCTGTCTCTTGCCACTGAGAAGCAAACTTCTGTTTTCTCCCCTTGTTCTTCATGTCTACAGATTTTCTGATCACCATTTCCTCCCAATCTGCAGCCTGACTCTCACACCATTCACACTGAAAAGCTGAAAACCCAGCTTCACCCCTTCCCATGATGAGTCAGCAAACTGAGCTAACCCAGAAAAGTGACTTACCCCTTCTCCTACATCCAGAACTCAACTGTCAGATTAAAAAATGAATAAAAAAACAAAATCAAATATCACCACTACAACCATCCAGGGGAAAATATGCTTAGTGCCATTTGGTGTCTTGTCTGCACACCAAAGCAACTTCTTGGATCTGATTTCTCTGCTGCCTTGGCTCTGTGGAAGCCTTCCCTATTCTATTTGAACAGTACTGAAAAGCAGGAATCAGGTATTTCTTTGGCATCAGGTGCTAGAGCTTCGGATAGCTTTTCAAAGATCTGTGAAGCACACTCGCTATTTTAGGGGGATGAATGCAGTATGACATGCTGAACACCAAAAACTACAAGTGTTGCAGTGCTGTTCAGCCTACACTCGTCCTGCTTCTCCAAGCTTCACTTCACTTATTCTGAAGTTGAGCTGACACCTTCACACTTCTGTTTTGGTAGTCCCAAACATACCACAAGGCCAAAAAAACATTAGATATCCACCGGTTTGCAAAGACATGTGAGAGTTCAGGTAAATGACCAGTGGATTTTGTTTAAATCGTAACAAAACACAACTTCCAAGAATGCCATGACAATAGAGGATTCCGGCAAGCTTTTCTGTTTACTGACAGAGTATTTCTCTTTTGAAGTAAACAAAAACAATGCATGACAATAATAGGAATTTTCAGCATTTAGGAACTCAACAAATTCAAAAAGGATGCTCAGTGCTGTTCAGGCTACTCCCATGGGGAACTAATTTGCTAGAGAAAAATCAATGGAAAAAGAATGGAAAAAGGGGACACAACATGGCAATATTAAGCCATTTTCCTTCTCTAGGTGGCCAGATTCTGTGCTTAGATACACATCAGGGAACAGAAATGTTACTGGTTTTCAGATAATCACAAGCAAAACTTCATCAATTTACACATCAGCTTTCAGATTTGAATCAAATTTTCAGCATGATAGCATCCCTTCTGTGGTTTGTACTATGTATATCATATCCACACATATTTAAGAAGACTTTCTAATCTGCAAGAGTCTTATGAAATATTTTTTCAAATACACACAACAGCTCTGTAACAGATTTTCTAGAGCTTAAGATTAATGAAAAATTAACTTTCCAAGGTTGAGCAGTCAAAAAATCAAGAACAAACCAAGCCTGAATGACAACCTCAACTCAGTCCTGATGCTTGTAACCTATAGCCCACACGTTTTAACTGAAATGAACAGTGCATACAGTATTACGGTACTTTAGTAAGCACACAATGAGAAAAGACAGTTCTTAGAAGCTGCTAACACAAAATACACGTATGTAAGGAGACGGAGGTGTACAATCTTAGCTTCTGTATTTCTTTACTTTCTAGCTTTTAGTGTATCCTCTGATTCAGAGAGCTTATGTTTAATATTCTTAAATTAATTAGAAAACTATAAGAAAATTATCAGCCATCAGCTGGCAAAACACAGTTCATGTCTATCAACGTTATTCATAAACTGTGTTCACTCAGTAGCCTTGATATCAATTGGCAAAAGACTGATGAGTTTCTGATGAGTTTCATTTTTGCACTTGCACACAAATATATGCTTATGGAAAAAATCTGTAGTCATCTTTGGTTCACCATCCAGACCCCTTGCTATCCCCAGATTGTGAAGTCTTTGTATTTTAGAAGAAAAAAAATCCTCTAACCCTCACTGTCTTAAAAAAAAAATAAAATCAAAATTATCTTTCTCCAATCTTCTTTAAATAAGTGGTTAATTAAATATTTATCCAGAGACCAAGCATGGAGACTGTTAGTCTAACACATGTTTTAGAAGACTGCCCATCAACTATGGTAGTGGGTGACAGTGGAAGCTGATGCACAACTTTGGTTTTAGTTAACACTTCCAGGCACCTTTTAAATCTCTCTAGAAATGAATTACAAAATATCTTTTTTGATTTGATCTTTCAAACCTTAATAAATAATTTATTTGCTGTAAAATAACTACATATTACATTCTGACATTGTATTACAAAGGCTACTGTGATGCTGTTATTTATATTCTCTCTCTAAAAAAAAAAAGCTTCCAATTTTGCTCAGTGCAATGTTCTGAAGGCTACGTGGTGGGAAAATAAAAAAAGTATCTTGGCAAGCTATGATAATTTACCAATTTTATTTGAAATTATTCTAAAAAAAAATCAGCATTGGAGCCTCCTGTTGGCAACAACTGCAATTAAAAAAAAGCAGGGAATTGAGGGTATCATGGGTAATACAGACTCTGAGTCCAAGGACAAGGTAAGAGATCCAGGGTAAGCCTGGGATAGAACAGTAGGGAAGAAGGGGAGGGAGGCAGGAGGACCAAAGCTGTAGATGACACAAGGGGCTGTGGGACGGGAGGGATGAAAAGCAGCTGTCACTGTTGAACACCGATTTACCAACACCTATCCCGGTTCACGCAGAGATGGTATTTTTACTGACACTTCATAATTGTCTGCACACATAAACGCAATGCCACAGATTCCCCATACATCAGTCTGAACCCCTCCAGCTCCTACCTGACACTTGTGAGGTCTCTCTGAGGTATGCACCTGTTTGATGTGTCCATTCAAGTGGTCTGGCCTTAAAAGAAAATACACATAAGCACATTTAAAACAAACGCTAAAATTTAACTTACAATTTTAACCCAAAATAATTACAAAAGGAGTAAGGTCCCAGTGGTGGATCTATTACAAGTGCAGTGATATTTAACTTTCCAAGAACCAGATTACCAACAACTGGGACTCTACCTTGGTAAGTACCCTCTGCAAGTTGCTACAGAGGCAGCATCTTCTCAGGAAGAAATTATGATCAGAGAAAACAGGAAATACAAGCTGCAATTTTCAAGCCTGCATGTGCCCTTCCAAAATCCTATTTAGGTCTTGACAATCAAGGCACTTTGATTCACAGTTGCTGAATCCTTTAAAGTCAGACCCTTTCGGTTTACATCCCAAACACGGATGTAAGAAGCCAGCTTTAAGCACCTCTGTGCAAAAAGACCAACGCTAACCTCTGTTGCTGTGACACATTTCCCACCAGTAAGATGAAAAAGTATTGTCCTAACTCACAACTTGGTGGGGAGACTGCATTAATACAAATGAAGTGCTCTGAAGGTCCCAACTAGAAGGTGCAATGGAAGAGCAAATTATTACTGAAAAAAGTTAAACCGTTCTTCACAATCAGTAAAGCCTACTTTGAAGAAGAGAGGACTGAATAGCTGCAGATTTTCCTGGTGGGAGTTTCTCCCAGTGGGAAGAAAGCTTTTCATTGTATGAGGCCAAAACTGCTTGGAAACAAGTTCTCCACCCTCTCCTCCCCCAACTTTCCAGCTGCGCCAATGAGAGGGCGCGGGATGGAATTCACGCGCTGCAGACAGAAAATAGACTGAACTTTGCCGTCAGGCTGTTAAACCTGATGCTCAGCAAGTGGGCTGGAGTGGTGTAACCGGAAAGACTGGTTGGGGGTCCTTCTAGGCACCTCAAGCCTAGCAAGCTCACGTGCAGCCCTACTGAATGAAGGAAAGGATATTAAAATTACACATCGTGCTTCCAACTTCCTTTGGCTGCTGCTACGACTGAATACTCAAATGTAAAAGAAAGAGTCTCTACTTTGCATTTATACTTTGAGTTTACAAAGATGTGTAGACATTTTTATTGTTTAACTGTTAGAACAGCATCCCTGCCGGTTCACATGAACTTACTGGGAAAAAGGAAAACTCAGCATGTATCTTTCACTTTCCCTTGTTGACAAAAACCTTTCATACTGCAAGAGCAGAAATCTTTCAAGTGTGAATAAAGATAATAAAAACTGGCAGATGATCCTGGTCGCACTATTAATAACAAAAATACTTTCACTTCTAGGTACAGATGAAACTTTAATTTTATGACTTTCCATCACTAGATTTGCAGTCCTTATGAAGATGCATGCATAACTACTGCCGATTTAAAAAAGAAAAAAAGGGAAAAAAAAGCGTCTATATTTTCTTAATTTATTGTGGTAACAAAGAGTCCCTCCAACAAGACGAAAGCTAGCGGGGACACAATTCCTACATTTACACAGCTGGCACAAACCTAGCCCTAGTAACCGTTTGATTCGTTTTTGTATCTCTATTCATTACCTCCTGTTAGAGCAAATCAACTGCTGTAGAAAACCGTCTGCTGCTTACAGAAGTAACACTGAGCGTATGCACCCCCCCTCCCCCCACTACTTCTGGTCTCAAAGCGAGCATCAAACTTCAAAAAGAGTTTCAAATTCATTAACTCAGACTATAAGAAATCACTAACACAACTACATGTACCAAACTACTTAATAAATTAACTCCCACAAACAGCAACAACAAAAATCAGCAACATTAAATTCACAGATCTTACGTATGTTGCAGGGCAGAAACAGGATCCCCTTCAGAAGGATGTAAACCCAAAGGACACAAAGACCATGTATTAAAAGACACTTGATGCTGCAGCCTTTGAAATCTCACCTCTTCCTTCACATTTGGGTGATAAAAAACATTACGAACTAAGAGAAATGAAGGGAAGTTAAGAAAAAGAAAATTTAAAATGGATACGAGAAAAATAAGAATCTTGAGATGTATTAATATTTTGCACTTCAACAGCACCTTCAAACTACCTACAAATCAGCAGTCTCCAGGCACTTCTGTGAGGTAGGTAATTATTTCAATACCCATTTCACAGAAGAGCCATCTGAGGGAGAGACTAACTGATTTGTCCAAGGACAGGCACACAGCGAGCCTGGGACAAAGCTGGGAATGTTACCCAGAAGCCAGCTGACTCCCGGTTCTATGTCTTAATTACTTTTAAACCCTTTCAAGAGACTGTAGAATAGCATCCCAGAGGAAACGATGGAAGTCTCATTTCTCGAGACATTTTAAAGTGGAACAGTCCAGCTACCCTAGGTACAAATTGTTCTTGTTTCCCACGGGACGGGAAAGGCAACTTCCTAGGTCTCCGCTTGTGTCTACGGTCCTTATAAGTACTCTCTTACCTGGAAAAGCCTTTTCCACAGCTCTGGCAGATGTAGGGCTTTCCCACAGAGCCATCATGGGATCGAACATGATAGGACATCCTGTCTTTCCGCTTGAACCGTAAGCCACACACTGGACATGAGTAAGGCTTCTCGCCAGAATGTGACAGCTTGTGCCGATTCAGGTGGTACACGTCCCGAAAAATCTTGCCACAGATCTCACAGGCCACCTGTTTCCTCGTCCTGCTTCTTTTCCGGGGTGCATCAGGATCATCCTGACCAGGGACACCGTTTTCACCCAGTCTTGGGGGTGGGATGTCTATGTAGCCCAGCTGTAAGCTTGTCACCCCGTGTTGAGCCTCGTGCTGGCGAAGACGATTAGCATCCGTAAACACTTTCCCACAGAGGCCACAAGGCAGGATACCAGCCTCTCGCAGGCCCCCTGGGGTACCAAACATCATGGAGTCCAAGAGATTTGCTTTGCGGGGACGCCCTCTGCCCCTCTTGGTGCCTAAAGTAGGGGCACTAGCAGCAACATTCTGGAAGGGCGAGGCCAGCAGCGGTGGGGACAGAGGTCCTGCCACCATGGGCAGACGGTCCACACCCTGCAGAACAGGCAAAGAGGACTGCGCAGCAGTAAGCGCGGCCCGCGTGGCCTCGTCTTCAGGCATGCCAGCGATGCCGTTGCCATTGGGTGCCAAAGCGGCACCGTTGGTCATGTCAAGAGGGAAGCCAAGGTCGGTGGCCCCCGGACGGAAAAGCATGATGTCAGGCCGTGCAGGGGGCACGAGGATCTGCACATTGGACTGCTTGATGACCTCCTGGCAGATGTCA